TGTGTGTGTGTGTGTGTGTGTATTTTAGTTGAATTTTACAAATTAATCTAAATAAGAATGTCTCTAAGATGAATGTATCTCTACTTTTAATATAACGAAACGTGTAATTATATTCTTCCGTATGTGTGTAACAAAGAAATTGGAGATAGTAATTTTGTAAGATAAATAGTATGCTTGCATACGCGTCTCTTAAAAATATCAAACTGACAAAATAGATATTATTAATTTTTTCATTGCAAATTTTTTTTAATGTTGCTGTTATTATCTTGAATTATTATTTTTACGGCTGTACAAACAAATTTGTACAGTACCATCCGAAAGTAATTTTTAGTTAGCGTGCTTCATCTAGTCTTAGATTTAGTCTAGTATTGGCTGAAGCTAAAGCTACATCGTTAAATATCTTGATAGACTCGGCCAAAACTTTCTCCTAGTTGAAGGATTTATGATACATTGATCAAGGAATACTTTGTTTTCGTTATGATTGTGTTATAAAATAGTAGTTACTTTTCGTTTTTTATTAATTTGACACTGCCAAATTTCAAATGACACGGGAAACTAGATCATAATCAACTTCACAGACGAAAGAAGTTGCGTAATAAAAGTAATATAGTATAACTGAAGAAATATAAATCGACGGAAGCGAAGAAAAATGCCTTTACAAAAAAAAAAAATAAATAAATAAATAAAATATCTATTATTGATTAATTATACTAAATATTTTATGTAATTTTATGTATATTTTGCACTAAGTACTTTCACCAATATTTCACCAATATTTCATCAGTATTTCTATTATCAAGTAATTACGTTTACTATTAGTTTTAAATATATTTTATAATAAAACAAGCAGTTACTGTATAATATAACGAAGTATATTTATACAATAATTTATTCATGTTTTTATCAATATGTTAAAATATTTTGTACAATTATATAACATAAATAAATTTTTGAAGTTGAAATTTTACGTTGACATTAGCATTGTATAGCGTATGTTAATATCGATCATTATTATCATTATCAGTTTTATTTTCATGAAAATCGTACATGAGATATGTAATTTATTCCGAATTTCTGTAAATAAAATACATTTGACAGTATATATTATATCACGAAATATATTCTTTTTTTCATTGTCATGCAAATACTCGATTTCTAACAGAAAATACATTTTACACGATTTCTCATTCATTCTCTGCTTTAATTTCTTCATCATCCTCAGAATTTTCACCGCTTCCTATAAAAGTTTCTTCTTCCGATTTTAAAAATGACGGTGGTAAAAAAGATGAAAATTCCGCTCCTCTTGGCAAACGTATGGCACTGATCGGTGACTCTTCTTTTGTCAATGTGTTACTCGTATTCTTCTTCTCTAAATCTTCCATACTTTTATTAATCGACTTGACAACATTCGAGCTTTCAGACAATTTGCTTGATTGCAGTTTAGAAGTCGCATCATTAGAAATTTTATTATTACTCTCTATCGAGGAAGAAGCATCAAAAAAAGGCATCGGTGGAGGTGTAGGAATTCGTTGAAATTGATCATTTGAGGTACTTTTCGTTGTTATAGCTTTGTACATTCGCTCCAGCGCCCTCGATTCTCTCTCAGACATGGACTTTTTCTTATCGACTAAAGCGTCCTTTAATTCAGCCATGAAATTTTTAAACAATGTTTTATCTCGTTTCTGGTAGTACAATGATATTTCGTCGGCTTCCTCGCTCAAAGGTTTCAAATATTCTTCTTTGATGTATTCTTCAAATACTTCATCCATAATTTCTGGCCCTGAATCAGTTACAACACGGATATTCGAATCTGCGTCAGACGATGGAATATTCATTTCCAAATGATCGATCGCAGAGTGATTAATTCGCGATTTTACAAGAAACAAGCTACTAAACTCAATAAAATCTTTCGCGGTCTCAACGCACTTTTGAGCTGCACTTAACTTTTGCATCGTGTCCTCCGTACAATCTTTGCCTGTTAAATTTTCAATTATATCGTTGTCAATATCTTGGAGTATCGACAACATGTGGCTGTAAGCCAATTGTAATTTATTAGAAGCTAAATAAACGTGCATATACAAGTCTTGCCATTGCGATGAATCTGGGCCTCTGGAATAATAGAAACATATAAACAACCTGTGATTTTCTTTTAACATTTACAAAAACATGTTGAGCAGGCATCTTTACCTGTATTTATACGACATAGGCTCCAATTTGAAACTGTAATAAGCATCAATATGTTTTGACAATTTATTTTTATACATGCTTAAATATCTGATTAAAAACTCCATTATATAGGCCAATTTTAATTCAGGAATTTTTTTGTATGATTGCCACCAAATATGATTATCGTATGCTATGGCTAATAAGTGCAACATCTCAGACTGGGTGAGGATATAAGTATGATATAGGGTCTATTAGAAAAAAATAATATAATATATAATTTAACAAAGATATACACCTCTTAATTGTAGAATAAGTGCTAGAAGACATTTCGTTTCAACCTTCAATTTTTGATAATTTATTTCGCCATGTATTTCAAATGATCTACTCTCAAATCTTGTTAATAAATCCTCGTTATAAGTATCTATCGCCAACAGTCTTATAAGAGTTAAAGAAGCATGATAATAGATGCAAGCAATGTCCCCTAAATATTTAACTAAACTTTCCATTATGGGTGGTAAGTATTTCAGTCTACCTGCTGTAAGATCACTGTTGAATTTGATAAATTATATAACAGTGGTGACATAACGTTACATAATAACTTGATAAATTTAAGAGCTTACGAAAATTGTTGGAAACTTTTCCCTTTGTGTAATTTTATTTTATACCCATACTTCAAGATTTTCATTCCCTTTTTACAAAGATCAAAAAAATCATTCTGCAAAGACACAAGAGATTTTAAATTCCTGTGTGCCTTCATTCTTAAGAATTCCATGTAACTAATACAATATAATACAGTTAACGTAGATAAATTAGCAAAATTTTTATATCGGGTATTATGAAACATATAAACTGAAGATGATAAAACTGTACCAAATATAATAAATTTTAATATCATAGTCCTGCAAAAAGAATGAACATGGTTATTATTTTATTCTTTTAATTTAACTATTTTGAGAAATTCACAAATTTACCTCCACGGTTTACATTCATATTTCTCAAGGAAACTGTATATTGCACAACCATGATCATTTAAAAGAATTTTTGCACTTAAAATAGCTTCAGTCTGTTTGTTGGATACACTGTCATCCTAACACGAACAAAAAACATTTGTTATAAATATTTTATGATATTTAATTTGGATATAATGAATATGATATTTTATTATTTACCTGAATTATCTCCAAGTATATAGAATATAATTTTTTAAAAACATTTCTCACATTAACTATGCAATCCTGAAAATATATAAAGATTTATGAAATGTGTACACTACATGATTTTTGTTGATTTGTTTGAAAGAAAAAGAACCTACCAATAATTTAAAATATTTCTTCTCATTTTTAGGCGTTGATTTTTCTATTGTTACACTCTCAAAGTCAGTGTAACCTAATTTATGTAAATGTTCATATAAAAATGAATCCTAAAAAGCAAAAGACAGGATACAATAAAATATTAAACATTGATGAATTACTGTTTATCAAACAAATATAATAAAAACTCGAATACTTTTATAACAACATCTTCATCTTCATCAGTCATATTTATATTTACATATGTATATGTATTTGACAGAGAAATACAAATTACATTGCAGTAATTCGAGAAATCATGTTTTATTTGTATCAGTGAAATACATTTGTTACAACGTTTTGTTGATACATTTTAGGTTAGGCGAGCACATCTCATATATCACTTTATTTTCTCGTTGATGTGTAATATATAACTCGTATAATTTCATCTTTTTTACTTAATACAGTCTCTATTTGATTAGTCTCTGTTTAATTTATCCGGTCTATACAAAGTAAAGAAAGTAGAACAATTTTCGTATCACATACATCTCATACATTACTTCAAATTAGGTTAGTTTTCAAGGTGCACGTTACATGCATCTGCAGTGAACCGCGAACAGAAATTTTATGATTATTTTACACACACATTTTAATTAGACATTGTACGTAACAATGAAGAATTTGCTAGTGAGACAACGCGCTAGCCGTGTTTTAAAAGTTCTGGAAAATCAAACTACAAACTCGAGTGACTTAAACACATTATATGCCATTGATTCAAGTAATGATGATTTCTATATACTTTCAAACAATAAATTGTATAAAGTCCCGTCGAATCGTGTAGAGGACACAAGTTTTTTTAACATCGATGAAAATTTAGAATTCATCAGTTTGGAATATTGTAGCATGACACAGGAGTTATATGGTGCCTGTAAATCTGGCAGTATTTTGAGGTTGAACGTAGAACCTGAGTTCAAATATGAATTGATAACTGATTTGAGCACAGACTTGCAATGCATGAAACTAAGCCCTGATCACGAAATGATCGTATTGGCCACAGTCGATGGCATTGTGATTACAATGGTATCTACATTTCAAATAATCTCAGAAGTGGATCTGCATGAGCAACATTTTGGTCAAAAACAATTTGTAACTGTTGGTTGGGGCAAGAAGGAGACTCAGTTTCATGGGTCTGAAGGGAAGAAAGGAGCAATAGCTAAGTCAACAGAAATCAATGAAAATAACACAGACGATGGTTCTTATAGAATAACTTGGCGCGAAGATGGTTCGTTGTTTGCTGTTGGTTTTTTACACCGTAAGAACAAAGTTAGACAGTTTAAGGTATTCAACAGAGAAGGTATTTTACTGTACACAAGTGAGGCTGCTAATGGTTTAGAAGAGTCATTGTCGTGGAAACCATCTGGGAGTTTAATTGCAGCAACACAGATTTCACAAAACAAACACCTTGTTGTGTTCTTTGAGAAGAATGGTTTAAAGCACAAGGAATTCTCACTTTCGTTTAAACCGAAAGAAACCAGAGTATGCGTGAAAATGTTTATTCTTGTTACTTGTGATAAATGTAAACATGGTAATTAATTAATATTTCAAAATGTTTCATAGGTGAAAGATTTATTTTGGTCTCCAGATTCAGAGATTTTGACCATTTGGTGTCAGATTCAGGCAGATTGTTCTTCAGTTCTACAACTATGGACAGAAAATAATTATCATTGGTATTTAAAACAATCTATTAAATTTCCCATGGATAATTCACTGGTATATGCAACGTGGAGTACAACATCTTATTCCAAGAAATTGATCATTCTGACACGTAAAGAACTTATCACTTGCGACTATAATTGGTCTGTTAATCATAGCAGAGGCCTAACTGTGCATGATAAATCTGTTGTTGGAGTTATTGATGGAAATAAATCGCTAATGACCGGTCTTAGAGCAGGAGTTGTACCACCACCAATGGCACATCAAATTTTAGACACTTCTGAATCCATAAATGTTATTGTTTTTGCGCCAGATATAAGAAATAAAACTAATTGGATGGATAGCAACACATTCTTTTGCGTTACTGTCAATAAAAAATTGATATTTTACAGACATTTAGTGGTAAATATAAATGAATTATAAATTATACAAAATTTCATTAATATTGAAGAACGATTAATGACGCGTTTAAAACGTTAGGATGCATTCCTCTTAGAGTATAAACATATCGGAACATATGATATTAAGTGGGATATTACACTGGACTATGAAAGTTCTTTCTACGATATGCATCACTTTTTGTGGCTTAATGAGAATAATGTTTTATGTTCATTGTCAATGAACGATCAGAGTTTCCTTTGCGTTTTAATGTTAAATGCGATAGATCAAACTCAGGGACAGGTGATACTGAAGTATGTATAAAAAATATTTGTCTAATTTTAAAGTATAGTAAACTATGCTTTAGCTTCAAGAGTTAACAGTTCTTTAACATTTGCAGCCAAATGCACGTTATGGATGGTTTAATTCAACATATAGTTCCTTCTCCTGATTCAGACGAAGCCTATATAATTGTAAACAATTCTATTGTAAAATATACAAGAGATACAGAACTAATTCCGATCAGTATAGAGTTGCAAAAATATACCTATAAAGTGGAAGTTGTGAAAATTAGTGGGAAACACATGATACTATCATTATATCATAGAAATTGTTTTGCAATTAATGGAAAGCAAATTGCCAATAATATCACAAGCTTCTTCGTTCATTCGGAATTTTTGCTTCTCACAACTGCACAAAATACTTTAGTATGCGTTCATTTGAACGAAAGTGATTTTGAGGAATTGATGAAGCAAGATCTGACTGTGAAGCCATGGGAGAATGAACTCAATGATAAATCATTCTTAGGTACATCAGTCATCAATTTATAATTGTCGCGTCACTTTAATATATAAGAGAATTTTCAGATACGAATATTAGAAGATTGGAGAGAGGATCCCAATTGATTGCAGCCATTCCAAAAGATTCTAAGACCGTTTTGCAAATGCCTCGTGGAAACCTGGAGTGCATTCAACCAAGGACATTGTCTTTACATATTATCGGATATCACTTAGACAATTACGATTATTTATCCGCCTTCGACTTAATGCGAAGACAACGGATAAACTTGAATCTGATCTACGACCATAATCCAAAGAAATTCATCGAGAATGCGAATACATTCGTGGACCAGATTTCCAAAGTAAGTTGGTTGAGCTTATTTCTGTCCGAGTTAACAGATGAGGATGTTACCCTGACAATATATGCAAATTATTATCGAAGACATCGATTGGAATCAAACAACCTCCAGCTGAATAAAATTGAGTCGATTTGCGGTTTACTACGAAACATTATGGAAGAAAGAAATAGCGCTAATCATTTAATCCAGCCAATATTAATTAGTTTAGTGAAAGACAAAAGAAAGCAAGGGATGGAAGCTGCGCTTACAAAAATAAAGGAAATTCAAAAATTAGAGGAGAAATGTATGGAAAACAAAGAGTGTATCTCTGACGAAGCGTTAAAATATTTATTATACATAGTGGATGTGAATGTTTTATTTGATATAGCTTTAGGAATGTATGACTTTGATCTAACCATGTTTATTGCCTCTAAATCACAAAAAGATCCCAAGGAGTATATCCCATTTCTAAATGACTTCAGAAATCTTGATGAGAATTATATGAAATATTCTATAGATTTACATTTGAAACGTTACGAGTCCGCTCTTGAACATATTACAAAAGAATCGAATAGATTTAACGAGGCTGTAAACTTGATATGTAATCATAATCTGTATACAAAAGCTTTAAAATTATTTGAAAAGGAGAGTAAAGAGTACAAGGAGGTGGCAAAAATTTATGGTGAATTTTTACTAAAAAAACAATGCTATCACGAGGCCGGAGTTATGTTCCGCAGAAGCGGTGATTTAAAAGAAGCTTTAAATGCTTATAAATTAGCTACTAGCTGGCAAGACGTTATTATCCTGTCTACTCAGATGGAGCTAAGGTTAATACAATCATAATATAATATGATATAATATAAAAGAAAAATTTGTCAGACTCATAAATTTATAAAATACTGAATTATATTTTAGTGAAGCAGAAAAAGATGTGATTCACCACAATCTTGTAAAATGTCTGGAAACTGATAAAAAGTACGAGGAAGCTGCATATATTTTAATGAACTATTTAGGAGATACGAGGGAAGCTATAATCTTTTTATGCAATGGTAAACAATGGAAAGATGCTCTAAGAATCACACATGATACCAACAATCTAGAATTGATAGGTAGGATTTACTCTTTCAAAAATAGTGTATATATTAAACGCCGTTTCTAATCTATTGATAACATTATTAATTAAATTTATTATATTTTAGAATCTCATATAGAACCCAGTGTATATGAATACGCGGATCACGCGCTATCTCAAATACGAAAAAATAAACAGGATTTTGAACAACATAAATCACGTCTTGCAATAGTGAGGCATAATATTTCTCAAAGGAATGCAAAATCGTACAATGAGATCCTTTGTGACAATGAGTCGATATATGATAGAGGCATTTCAGATATTCTTAGCGATACGAGCAGTGTTGTAGGTTCAACTTTGAGTCAAATATCAAAATCGTCTATTACGTCTGGGTAAAATACTTTTTAAGATTCAAGTACATTTAAGAATCACTTTAATTCATTAAAATTTGTTTCATAAATCTATGTTAAAAGTTACACATGTGTATGTATATGTTACTTTAGAAAAAGTTATAGATCAAGCAAAAACCGAAGAAAACAGGAAAGAAAGCTTTTAAGCTTAAAAGAGGGAAGTGTGTTCGAAGATCTAGCATTGATACAAACTTTGTATCAAATTATCAGCAATACGTACAAAGAACAGAGTTTGTATATTTATGTATAACAATCAATTTGTCGTTAAGTATCGTATAAAGTTTATATGATAACATTTCAGATGATGTGCACATATTAATACAAATGCTTGTACATTTCGACGATGATGACTATGCCAAAAACATACAAAATTGTATGGAAGAACTGCTTTTAACGATAGAAAAGAGCAAATCTGAAATCTGGGATAAATCTGCACCTTCAAGTTTAACAGAAATGGTACTCGTTGCATCATATAATTAATAGTCATATAATGAATAGTAATTTTCACAATCGTAAAAATTTTAGGAAAATGCAGATGTTACGACGGGTTCACAAGGGTTCTCTGTCTGCTACAAATTAGTTGGTAAGTCGTTGTTTAAAATAGGAGGAGACTTTTATCTTCATTATTATTCGAATTTTCAGAATCTTATATTGTACGTCCACCAATAGTTAATTCTTCACCTTGGAAAATGAATATATTTTAATAATTAATTACAATAAATGCTTTCGTAAAATATAATTTTTGGATTATATCTTACAATTATGTTCTTCCTGCTTTCAAAAAAATACTATTTATTTCTCTTTATTTTTCATTTATTTAATAAATTTCTAAGTTACCATCAATAATTTTTCTATAAGTATATATATGAAATAAAATATGTTACAATAATTATTATAATTTATAACAAAGTTTTGCGAGGAAAACTCGCAGCCTTATGATAATTCATCGATTTATAAAATAAACATTTCGATACAAACTTAAACATACATACTATAATGTAATATTTAAATTTATATAAATGATATGATAACTTGAAAAAACATTGTTACAGTTTATTTTCTATTGAAATTTTTTTTTATACATAAATTTTATACAATATTTACGTTCCAAATGCAGTCTGGCGAAACAGCAGATATGAACAAATACGTTCATCGATATAATATTTGTGAAAATATTGATATCAAAGTATAGATTATTAATATCGTCTGTAATACTCAGCTATTTCCATATATTAACATTTAAAACTATTTATAGAACTAATATCAAAATAAAAATGTTTTTATAATCACGAATAAAAGTTAAAATTTCTTCAATATTCCAGTATAAAAGATATGATTTACAACTTAAATACCTAAAAATCTTGTTTTAAATTGGATAAAAATTCGGCAAAATGTTTAGTGAATATTTCAGAAAACGTTTAAAAATTGCTTTGCCTTTACTTTATAATTTCAACTAATTTATAATCTATAAAATGTGTCAATAATATTATGTATTAAACAATTTAATTTTGATTTAATATGCTGTAACATGTATTAGATATAATCTAAAATGACTTTTATATTGTTATGTCTTTAATTAAAATTTAATTAAATTTTATAGTATTATTTTTCAAATAACTTGAGCCTCAAATCAAATCCATCACAAATTCCTAATATTTCGCACCTTATCCCATTTTGCCGAAATTTTACTGAATTTAAACAGAGATCCTTTGGCAAACGTTGTTCGATAGTTTCCTTATAGTAATCCAAATATATATATACATAATTGACTATATTCATGCTACTTTCTTTTTCTTTCCTTTACTAAAACACTTTCCCTATAATTACTCTAAATTCTGTAATTACATGTAAAGATAAAAAAATCTTTAATAAGTAATTTCCATGCTGAATATCTGGTTTCAATGGATCAAATGTTATTCAATAAAATGCAAACCACCCTGCTCAGGACTAAAGAATTAAATTATATCAAACGGAAATACTTATTAAAGTTTATCTTTCTTTCGTGTGACAACTCCGTAATATTCAGTATTAAAATGTCCCATTTTTAATAGAACCTATATATTTGAAGCTAATATCTATAATTAAAACGAGACTATCGTCCACGAACTTTCAATTTGATCGATGAACGGAAATTCCGTCCGGTTTTTTTTTCATGTGATTTTTTTATAGATAAGGAATCACTTGTTACCTTATTGAATTTTGTTTGTAGCAAAACTTTTACACGTATTAAAGGTACATCTCATCTTTATTTATTTTCAAATTATTTACTTTGATAGATTTCGGAATGAAAGTCATTATTTAGAATATTTATCACTTTAACCAATAGTATAAATGTTTAATTATACCACATTTTCTTTAATGGAAACATCGTAATACAAAAAAAAAAAGACGACAAATGATGATAGTCTCGTGCTTCTTTATTTCGTCTGGTCTCCCTCTAAAAATGTATCATCCTATGTGTACTGCAATTTTTGTCCAACGAAATATTGAACAATTAGACGTCTCAGTACAATTACCTTTTAGAATGAATATTATACTGCCTCCTTATCTGCAGTAGCTATAGTATTCAACAATGCCGATTTAAGTTCGGGGCGAGTACTAATCTTCATATACTTCACATGGGCGTACTTCTTCCTTACAGCTTGATACTTAATCTTATCCACATTAATTATAATACTTGCTGTTTCCCGTACCACAGGGAATACGTCGTCCTTGGAATAGGTACTGTAATGTGCCAAGGTATTTGTCCAGACAACCTTTTGCTCGTCCTCGTCATCATTACTATAAATTCTGCAACAATTGTGCGTGTAAGTTATCAGATTTACTAGGTTTGATCGATTATTCTATATCAATAAAAAAAATGACTTCAATCCTTCAAGGTAATATTTCAACAAGCAACTTACAAGAAAGCTAAATATATTGCTGCAGCTGCAATAAGGCTTGGGGGATAGTGACACATTTCATAATGGACTAAGCTTTGTTCCAGAAAATATTTAGCCATTGTATGATGTATTGGAAGAGCCTAAAAATCATTTATCAAGTTAAAGATATAACAGATGTGAAAATTAATAAACGGTGTAAATTTACGAGTTATACCTTTCCAGCTTTGCTATATCTTCTTAGGAAATGTAAAGGTAATGGTCTACCAAAAGAATAATCTAAAGTTTTCACAATAAGCATTTCCATTTGCAATATCTCTACCTTTGAGTAAGCATTATCTGTGATATATACAAAATCATTTATATCCGGAGAATACATCTCTTCGTATTTGCTAGCAATAAACATAGCAGTCACACCAACTAATTGCAATCTTTTCCTATCTATTGAACGGAAAGCCTGTTGAAAAGATTGCAAAATTTACTTTTGAGAAATACCACTGACAATACAAATACAAATAAGTGATCCTTATGCATAGCAACAAACCTGTAGAAATCTATCAATGATAGCAACAGTCAGGTACAATGTCTCTTGCATTAAATGAAATTGTTGGTGTACATCCACTAGCCAATCTATAAGTACGCTCCTCATTTTTGATGTAACTTCTTGTCCACTCAAATATGCTTTCGAGATAGGGTACATACCTTCCAAAGTTCTCAAGTATTCATAAATGTTGTTACTGTAAATAGAAACTAGACTGGGATTTTCTTTATCTTCTTCATCGATATCCTCAATCTCTAATAAATTTGAAGAGAATGATTGGATCTCCTTTTTGGAAGGTAGTGACACCTCATTATTCTCTTGAGAAGCTGCAACCTTTACTACAGGTTTAACTATTTGCACAGGCAGTTTCTCATTCAATTTCTCCGGTGGTTTGATTGCTTGTTTCGAAACTGTGATCTTCTTCTTATCTTTTGTCAGCAAGCTAGTTCTATCAATAGGCTCTATACCTCTTAATGTATTGACTTTATTTCCTATTTCACCCAAAGCTGCTCTCTTTGTTTTTCCAGTTATCGTAGTCACTGAAGACTTAAGATTCTTCACATTCTCTTGATTTACAATATTCTGAAAATTTATTTTAGTCTACATTTATTTTTTTAATTTCACTTATCAAAGAAAGAAGATATTAAAGGCATTTTTATTCAACAAGTTCTATCAACTATTTTATCATAACGTTGCAGCATGTAGTAAATACAAAGAATAAAAAAACTACAAGGGAATGTGTAAAAATATGAATTAAATACTGAATTAATCACTGATCTTTCCTAGTAAAGTAATAACTGATTTGATCTTTTAAGTAATTCATATTTAATATATTCCAGTATAGAAATGCATTATACTATTATATAGGCAGAATTTAAAAAATATAACGAAATTCGTCTGAAATATAGAAAATCAAGGTGAGGAGTAATGGTGTGCTTTAAGCGGCACGAATTTCCGCCGAAAATATTTGCGAACGCATTTCCGTTGAACGTAACGTAATTTGCGAATTAATTCAAGATAATACTGCTGCTCAAAAACTCCGAGATCTGTGCAAACGATACGGAAAATAGGTGACAGGAAAGTGGGGCTTTAAAGATGTACGTTAACACGAAATTAAAATTCTTTATTGCCGAGGAATTGAGACGAGTAACATCGAAATTCGTGCTGAAAATAGTAAAACGCACCTGGCATTTTGAATAAATCGTGACGATTACTTCGATGGGCTTTAAAATGAACGGAAGGCATTTAAAAATATCAGGAAAACGAGTTACTCTGTTCTATTCATCTCCCCTCTGTTCAATGCCCGATTAACGAACAATGCTATTAATAAAAATAAAATTTCCAGCTTACCGTGAGCGCGGTCCTGTTTCTTAAAGCCATTGCTAATCAAGTCAGAAAATAGTTACATGCAACACCAAAAGCTCGACTAGGCTGCTTCCACTGTTTCCCAAACAACGTTTACCTCGCAGTAACGACTCTGTCGGTTTGAATTTGTTTAGTCGACCGAACGGAAGTTGACCTTCTGCGGATGTTAGTACACAGAGAAAGAAATGCCGCGAAAATCGCGATGCCCCATTGGCCGGTCAAATGGTCACGTATTTCAAACACGTTGTAACTACGTTTCAATTTTTTCTTAAATTGATAGATTTCAGGCGGCTTTCTCTGGCTCGTTAGACAAACAAAATCGGCAATTGAGGAATTAAATTTTGTCAGTCACTGTTGTATTTTTTTTGTTTTAGAAAACGATTTTTCTTCTTTTTCTCTTTTTCTTTTTATCAAAGTTAATTTCATTTCCCGAATTAATAACTTTTTGCAATTTGTTGAAAGAGTTACATATCGAAAAAGTTGCCAATTATTGAACATTAAATTTGAAATAAATATAATTTACGAGTATAGAAATACATACATTACTATTATCATTTTTTTAATATAGAAACGATGTGCATCACATTACATTTTTTATACTGTAGTTATTTTTATTTTTCACATTTCAAAAGAAAAAAAAAAAAAAAAAATGAAAAATAAGAGAAAAAAAATAACAGATATTTTTTTGTATCAATATACGTGTATTATATTAAAACAGGTAGTTGTTTCTACTGACGTTTCGTCGTGATTTGTACCTAAATATATATATATATACACATACTTATATTTGTGTACATTGATTTTATGCCTTGTTTATCTGTTCTTTGTATATAAATATTCATTGTAGTATAATTAATTAAATTTGTTGTCGTAAATACTATGAACAATACATGAAGTGACAAACTGGTGAATGTGTAAATTCATAAACGATTATTAATTGATCGACGATCGTGAGTTAAAAATGACAATAAATATTGATATTAAATTAAAACGGGCTAGCAAAATATATCACGAAGGGGTATGTAATTTAATATAAGAATATTGATGAGACAACAAATATCGAGGTTATGTTTCAGGAAATAGTTGCTGGTTTTATATTACTGCAAACGAATTCAGATGTTAAACACGATGGGATATTTCTAAGTATGGAAGGCTCGGTTAATCTGCAACTTAGCTCGAAAAATTTTGGTATTTTTGAAGCGTTTTACAATTCCGTGAAGGTCGGTCTAATCTAAAAATTTTTCGAATTTTTTCTCAAAATTACAGTTCTGTTATAAATTAGAGAGATAAATCAATTGATTTCATCGTTATGTTTTCAGCCGATACAATTGGTCCAGTATACTTTGGACGTTGCTCCAAGTGGCAAAATACCAAGTGGTAGGACAGAAATACCATTTGAATTACCATTGAAACCCAGAGGAACTAAATCTTTATACGAAACTTATCACGGAGTCTTTGTAAATATCCAATACTTCATACGCTGTGATATAAAAAGAAGTTTCTTGGCGAAAGATGTTAGCAAGTCGTTAGAGTTCATAGTAGAAGATAAGGTACCTTCCAAGGTACAAAAAGAGCCCAATAAACCAGTGTGTTTTAATATTATGCCAGAATCTTTGCAAAACACAAGAGATAGAACCAACGTACCTAGGTTCCGTATTTCTGGAAAATTAGATTCGTTGTATTGCAAAATATCTGAACCATTGACAGGAGAGGTAATGATACTATAATACATATACTTTCTCTAATGAACTAGTATGAAAAAAAATAATATTTTTAAATGACAGGTAGTAATTGAACACTGTGAAGCTGTGATAAAATCAATTGAACTGCAATTGGTGAGAGTAGAGACATGTGGTTGTGCTGAAGGATATTCCAGAGATGGTAAGGTAATTAATGTTATTGATTTGTCGTTTTGTAATACTGTGCCTGTTTCAGCTACTGAAATACAAAATATACAAATTGGAGAGGGAAATGTTTGTATAAATTTGCCTATACCAATATATATGATATTCCCACGATTATTTACATGTCCTACATTAAGTACCAGTAACTTTAAAGTCGGTAAGATCATTGTGTGATTTCCATTTTAGACTTTTTCATAACTTTGGTGATGAGAAAAAAAATAATCATATTTCGTTACAGAATTTGAAGTAAATTTAATCATAATATTTGAAGATGATTATTTAGTTACGGAAAACTTCCCCATAATATTATCAAGATATTAAATTTTGTATAGAAATACAATATACATATTTTATATAAATTATATGTATTATTTACAAATTGTATATATTTCTTATAATAAATGCAAATTTATGTTAAATTTCATTGAAAAGAATATAAAAAAGGAAATAGTTTTTATCCTAATGTACATATTAATGGATGGATAACTTATTGTATTAAAAAGTATGTTTTACTCCAGTCCAACTTTTTGAGCAAATAATTTGTAATATTTTTCAACTTGTTTGTTATGAGTCAGCCCCACTGAAGCCAACAGTACCACATAACCAAGTACGAATGTTAATAATTTATGTTGTTTGAACCATGCTAACAATCCTTTATTATCAGTACATCTAAAACATTGGAAGTCGATTATGCTTAGAAAAATATAAAAATAATAAATATTACACTTATACCTTGCTGCTTGAACTTGTTGACTGTAAATAAGCAGGTATCGTACTCTCACCAATTCACTGTTTGTTACCAAATAATACTTATTTGGAACTCTTCCACCTATAGAATCTGTGACTAGATTTCTAGCATTATCTTCTACAAAACACAGTTTGCATAAAAAGTGACAAATAATACTTTCTTTCAAATATATTTACCTGAATCTCCAGTCTTTACATCTGCATGATTGATGAGTTCACATAGAGCTATACAGCTCATTTCACTTCCTAATACACTACCTCCCCATCCATAGCCAACTGGACTATATGGTAAACTTACACCTAACTCACTTGAAAGATATATTCCTTTACCAAACAACGAATTCTAAAATTGTAGTTAATCACATTGAAACATGTATAGTTAAAGATTATGTCATGCTCTGGCTGAATTGTTTTACCTTACACATACTCTGTTGTAGACCATAATGTATAATGGAATGAAAATTCTCTAATCGACTTCCATGATAAGCATAAAATGTTGTGTGACCTTGAGCAATTGTTTTCCACCTGTCTTCTGAAGTAGATTGTTTTGTGTTTGTGACTTGGAATATTAAATTTGGCGCGACTATCGACATTTCTGAAGGTACTTTTCTCAATATTGAGTCATGCTGTGTTGTAAACATTTTTCGAATTTTCACAAAGTTTAATCGTAAAATCAGAATGAAAATAAAAATTTTAAGAAAATTCACATTATTATATATATAATGAAACTTACACTTTCTTTCTTGATGCTTTTTATGTAAGGATCTCTTAAACGTACTAAAACCCAATGCAACAAGTCTATAGCTGTTCCATATTTTTCATATGCGTCTGGCTCTGATAATGCTTTCAATATCACAGCCAATGGAGGAATTACTTCTATAGCTCTCCTCTATAATTGAAATCAACGTATTCAGTGATTATTATTCGTTAAAATTATTGTGAAGCTAGTAAAATTAATGAGACTGATATTTTGGAAACTCTACCAAGGCTTCAATATCCTTGCATTCATTTTTTATATACATTGATGGAAAGGGCTTCAAACAAGTGTCATAGCGATATGTATTACAAGCTGCTACAAATAAGGACCATTTTAAATCAGCTGCTCTCAGATCTTTCTCCAATACATGTTTCACACATTGAACTTTTTTTTCAATGTCTTCTTGACTCATAGAATCTAATCGAGATGTATACAATGTGTCTAAATCTGAGTCTCTGGAAATCCTTTGATCTACACTTTTGCTTTGATTATCCTTCTGATTTTCACTGTGAATGATTTGCTTTTTATTTGTTCTATCCATTATTGTGATAAGTCAGACCTAAATTAAAATTTTTAGTAAATCATTATTTTGCTCTAATTTCAATCATTTCAAAAAGTTGTACCTACCCAAATTACAAGATTATATAATTACAAAAATCTCAAATGACACAGTGTCAATAAACTTTGACAATAATTTGTAAACTAACATAATAATAAGTATCAAATCACATAACAGTTATAATGATTATAATTTTATCCAATAATAGAAATACAAAATATATTAATATATATTAAACTCTCCAATAAATATTTTATGCATGCAATTGTTAATTTCGCTGTATAAGAGATCAGATACATAAATAATAATTACATTTACTATAATATTCTATGTGAATAAAATCCTATATTTTAAACATATTGCAACCGGTGTTTTTTAATTTATTTCTGCAATTTCTAATCATCCAGTAATTTGTCCCTATCGCGTACAAAAGAAAAGAAAAAAACAACAAAGAAGATAGAAAAAGTATAAAAAGAATTTCGAAAGCAATCAACGCAAAGTCTAAATATCATTCAAGTATTACAAACTACATGTACCCATGTACAAGTACTTTCTTTAATGCAATATTATTTTTGACAGTGATGCAACTTTCAGAAATTGAATATTTCTGCAGGAACGTTTTCACCCTAGCAGCTTTTCTAATGTCCGTAAGATAATCGATACTATATTTTTATCTTTACGTCAATCGTACGAACAAAACGAAATATCTAAGAAAAATAAGTATCAATGTATAGAATTAATTGTTACTTGTGTATTTTAATCCTTAAAAACTATTATCGCTGAAATTTTGATATTGTAGTTTGATATTTCAGTAATAACATCGCGACGTTAATAACCATTTGTTAATAACTTTCTTCCTTTTAATCTGATTAAACAATGATTAAATAACGTGATTAAATAATAACGAAATCTTTAATGATTCTGGATTTAATAATTTCCGGAAAAAGAAAAAAATGTAAATGGAGCGAAGTTTTACGCTACGACAATATTAACGTGATTTTCTTTGATCATTTTTAAGGGTCAATACATTTAGGGCATTTCTTTCTAATTTATGTTACGCTTTAAACTGGAATTGGATAGATATACAATGAAAAGTCATCAGATGGCATGTATCTCTTTAGATTGAAAAATAAATGACAAGTAATGGCTTAAAATATTTACCTTTATAGTGAATTTAAAATATGTTTAAATGACATAAAATTTTCCCAGTGATTTGCAACAATTGACAACAGGCATCTTCAAAATGAGAATGTTACGCCGATGATGAATAAAAAGAAACGAATTATTTAAAAATATATATGTATATATATATGATCTTCCGTGTTACAAGGAATTTGTACAGAAATCATTTGAACATTGTCCTGAAATTTTCTATCACAGATCACATATGTTTCGTTGCGTTCGTTTGTTATGCTGCTCTCTCTCTCTCTCTCTCTCTTCTCTCTTAAATTTTAGTTCAGTATTATTTTATATATCGTCGTTCAATTTTTCATCAAGTTCAGATATAAAAATACAAGTTTCGATCATGAATTATTTAGGAAAGAACATTTATTATTTATTTCCCATACGAATCATATACATATGTATATGTACCTAGAGTGAAAACAATTTGTTACATGCAACTAATTAACTGCAACTATTCAGTACGTTAGCACATAACGAATGCTTAGTTCTGTTAGAATTACAAATAGATTATATGCTGTTTTGTTAGGTTACAAAACTAACGATTCACGAAAGGAAATTTTATTAAATAGTTTTTTATAAATAGTTTTTATCGCTAGAATTCTGTAGAATTTAACGTTAATTCAAACTCCATTGGTGATTCTAGTCTATTAATCTATAAAATGTACGCGCGTAATTCTCTATACAACGTTATCGTATAGGGAATACTTTGTCAGCTGGATTGGCAGCCATGTAACTCAATGTCATGCTTCAAGGTAAACTGTCGATGACGTCAGTGTACGTCACTTAACAAGTGGGAGTGGATGGATAGATGTCGGCAGCCGCGGTGGTTCTCGCGAATAATCGCACACGAAATTCGCAGCGAACGATCGGCCTCGCGTCGTCGCGATAATGCCGCGTGCCTTTTAGCGATGTAGTTTTCTCGCAGCGCAGAATACAAGCGGACAGAAGGAAAAAGAGAAAAGCACGGGG